AGATGCAACAATTTCCCAAGCATATCTGTCACACTGCAGATGTCTAAAAAGTATCAAGTATGAGATGTTCTTATTTGCAAAAGTTGTGCATGATGAAACAAATAGGCCTATGTGACATACTCTCGTTATTAATTCTCACAACAGTTGTTATATACATCTCTCAGCCAACTCAATCTTATGTAGGGACCACAACATTACCTAAAATTAAATGTAGCCCTCATACAATCTATACCCAAAAGGTCTATGATAGTTTTCAAAGCCGTTTCAAAGTTTAAGGGTTCATTCAGACAAGATCGTTCTACTACAAACAGATAGCAACACCAACATGTCATCTAGTATTATAGTCATCTTATTCTAGCTATAATCAGTTTCAAACAATGTAAAAAAAAAAAAAATCTTAAATATATGCGTTAGAACACTAAACCCCTGCTTACAATCAATTTCTAACCATTTCATTCATACGCTACTTAAATATAATAACCAATATCTAGATTAACTCTGAACATCAATGAATCTCCAATTTATCCTTAAAAAAATCAAAGAGCCATAATTTCTCCAAATGAAAACCTTCTGCAAATGAAAACCCTGACTACGCTGACACTCGCATCCATCTAGAAACAATTCCATAATAGAATGTATTACCGGATCTCGAATTGGGATGGTTAAATCCAGTATTCAATTAAAATAGGTGTTTATTGATTATCCTTTTAATTCTCCCAAGCCAAACTCTATCAATACTTTATCCTTTAATTCACATTCTTTCATTTTTAGTGCAGTAGATATACTTTTTTTTCCCTCCATTATTTCTCTCCATCACTGATAAACATTTTCCTTAGTGCCTTCCTCTTTTTCTCTTTGACTTCCCACCTAAAACTTTTGTATTTCATCATGTGCGCTGGATAATTAACACCCCACTTAGCCTTCTGGATTAACCACGATGGAACAGTTTCTTCTTTTTCACTCTTCTTCTCCAATTTCTTCTTTTTCATCAACCAACACAGACCCTTTCTCTGCACCTTCGTTGGATCACCAATAAAACCGTGTCTAGAATATTTTAAAAGAGAAGAGCATGGTATTGAGTGGACCATAACAACAAGCAAAGAATTGTTGGAGGAGCTGCAAGTTACAGCCAAAGAAGGAAGAGATAAGGGAAAAATATATTTAAGGTTCTTAATATATTTTAATCGAAATATTAGAATTTACGGAGTGCAATAGAAAGAAAGCTGAAGTGCAGGAATAAATGGCCATAAATATTTTATGTGTTCTAAACTCATTAAAAAAAAATCGTTCTAAAAGCTATAATATGCGTTTTAAAAGATTTATTGTAGAAAATTTATTCTAAAACATATTTCATATGTATGAAAAGTTTATTTTAAAAAAAATGTCATAAAAAAATTAAAAAGTTTTATCCGAAAGATTTTCAAAATAAATAATCCAAAAGTCACTTTTACTTTTTTTACAAATGACAAAAATGATTACTTTTACTTTTACAAATAACAAATAATTATTTTAAAATTTAGGGAGATGCCTGAAAGAAAAACCTAAATTAGTTTAAGATAGAGAATTATTGAGTCCGATGTTAGTGTTTTATCTAACCTTTATATACTATATCTGAATGACTTAAATCCTAAACCACTTGGGTGTGGGATCCAAGAATCATTTTTATCAATCAATATTATAATTTGTAGGAGAAACTGGTAGTCAGTCAAACGTGCCCAAAATTCAATCATAAAATACGGGTTGCACATAACTTTTGTTATACAATTAAGTGAAAATATATATAATATATTAATGAAACATCAATAATAGAAATTCATGCAATAAACTATTTAGCACTTGTGTTCAAGGGCAAGAAACCTTAGTCCATAGATCATAGATATTCAATCAAACCCTATCCAAGTTTGTTTGAACATTCGGTACTAAAAATACTATACAACATTTTCTCTTCAAGCAAAAAAACATTACATATTTCCACATGTATGCCCCAAAAACACCATCTTCAAAACAGAACATTGTGAGATAAAATGAAGGAATAAATATGTAGAAAGTTGGTGAAGAATACTATATGAGACGTATTTCGCAAACTCAACCTCAAACTCTCAATGCACTCACGAGATAAAATTTGTATCATCCTAAAATGTTGTAATATAGTGCCACAAAAACACAGTCACCTTGCTCTAAAACAGATCCAGTGACATCTTCAGTTTGTTTTGTTTCCATCTAGGAAGCTTAGAAAAAGCAGATTTTGGCATTCCAAACTTCTCACGAAACTCTTCATTGGATAGATACACCTGTTCATCACAAAATGTAGATTCCAGTCAGTTTTCAGAGTATAGAAAAAGCAAGAAAAAGGTAAAAGATGGTGACAAAACTGATTGAATTAGTTTAGAAAGTACCTCTCTTTTTGTCAAATCAATGCCAGTTACTGGATTAGCAGAAACTACTCTCAGGCGTTCGTAGGGGTATGTAGGCAAATTCTCACCATCCAAATTTCTATCCTTTTGAGTGAAACTTGCAGACTCGTTAGATGAGCTTAGTTCTGTGGCTGGAGACTCAGTCTGTGGCGTTGGTTTTTCTAGGAAAACAAAAACAAAGATAACAGGTAAAGGAAGAAAAAGAATCACTTTAGCCAATACTTTATAACTCAATCGATTTTGCGTACCACTAATGATTCTTTACAGAACACCTAAGAATAATTACTTGGCGGAGATCTTACATCATCTAAAGATAAAATAATTTTACGGTATATAAATGGGTGCAAACTTCACCTTAAAAGCTTATTTTGTAGAATTGAGTTAAGCTTAAAGTCCACTTCTTAACATGATATGAAAGTCATGTCCTAGAGCTTATTTTAGTGAAATTTGTTGTTTGTTGGATCTATTATTTAACATGGTATGAGAGTTATGGATTAGCAAAATTTATTGTTTATTAGATCTATTATTTCATCCGTTATCGAACTAATGTCTAGTCCCCCGTTTGAGATGTATGTCTCAACCTACTATTTATTAAGATGTATATATTAAAATAACTATTTTAAAATTCTTACAAAGAATTCTCTTTATCAATATATATATATATACCAAATTTGGAGTAGATAGCTCCAAAGAGAACTAACTCATTCACAAATAGACTAACTGTTCAACTAAACAATTTCACATCAAAAATTGATGAGAACGATTGTTATTACCAGCACTGTCATTGGTAGGAGAGCCTTCAAAGAGCTTCTTGACAACAGGAGTAGAGCTAGAAAGAAGCCTATCACCTGCACGGCTAGGTAAAGGGGAACTACTTCTTCCACGCCCATTGGAGAAAGTAGAAAAGCTTCTGTGACCATTAGGAGGAGTAGAGTCCCAGGAGGTTGCTTTTAATGGGTTTCTAATATGTCCCTGGATAATTTGGAAAACATTAGGAAGACAAAAGCAATGATCCCAAGCTGAAAACCTTCTCAAATTGATGTTATGAAATAGTCACCTACTTCTACACTTTTTGCTTTTCCTTTCAGAATTGCAAGCTTTCTCTCAAATGAGTTGCCAACAATCTGCAACAATTCATTCAGAATACTTGATAAGATTGGTGACAATATAATCCAGGTGTAAACCAAAAAGGTGTCGCCTTCAAACACCAGATAAAAAAACAAAAGTGTTACATATGCAAAGAGAACTTCTGGATTCAAACTCATGACCAAGGTACAATGGTAAAAAAATAAATTGTATATGAAAAATATTTTCAACAAAGCATAAATAAACAAACAAATTTCCACATCTCATGCCAAATTTCAATCTTCCTCCTTTACTACACATCAAATTCTTTTAATAGATACACAATTAAATTTACAATTTCATCAACTTGTATACATATTCATACACACAAACAGACATATTACCTAAATTTAAAATCTGCCTAACAGGCATGCACAAGAAAGCATTAGTATTTACATATACAAGAATTGAAAAGTGCATCACAAAATAATCTGAGTAAACCAACAAATAAAAATAAATTACACCACATTTATATGTATAACAACATCAGGGAGTTCGGCAATCGATCTTTATTTTTGGGAAAGTGGGGCCAAGGGATCGCACCAAGTCTCCACTATACCAATGAGGAGTTCTTAAAATTAGTCGTTATAGTATGATGATCAATAGTTATGATTTTGAAGGGAGAACACTTACATTTTCTCTTGAATGATCCCATGAAAAGAAACAAGTGAAAAATGGTGGCTCATAACCTTCTGTTACAATATAAATAGGGATGTCAAGGGATAGGCCTTCAGCAAGGACATCCATTTCCAGAAATTTCTGATCATAACAGTTTCCAAAGTAAGATAAACATATTGCAGCAAAGAGGAAGCCTGTATTACATTAAAATTGCAGACTTTGCTCTCATGATTCATTGTATTGACAAATAAGAATTAGTTCCTAGAACGAGATTGTCAAATAGTTAGTGAATAATGAATAATCGAGAAACAACTACCAAACTTGGCTCTTTATGAATTAGATGCATAAACAATTACTTCCTTGTATAGTATATAGAGGTCTTTTTCATTAATAACTTGGATTCATTGGCAAAAAGTTATATAGTGGCTATGGCAGAGGTCCACGTGTGCAGGAAAACAATGTGGAAGAACAAAGTACAAAGTAATAATAACAGATGTTAATGGTGGGAATTCAACATGTGAGTGGCTATGTGAAGACCATATATAAGTAAAATAAAAAATTGATTTAATTGCATGCTTGACAATTAGTGGAAAAGCATAGCAAGTAGGTACCTGGCCAAGACTAAGAGCTTCTTGTTTTGATTTCACAGCCGAATGCAAGCCAACCCAAACATAAATCTCTCTTTGACAATCAAGCAACAAAACATCTTCAGTAATTAAATCATCCTGTGTATAATTGTATATCTCTTTCACCTGAAATATTACATGAAGGCTACAATTAATCACGTTAAAATAATACATTATACATATGTGTATGTGAGCAAAAGAAAAATTTGACAAGAAAAGGCCATATTATAAAGTTCATAGAACTAATGGAAAAAAAAGAGGCTTTAATTCTAGTTGATGTTATATATAGGCATTTCAATCCCAGTGCTGATAATCTAAATGCTTATTAGAAATGCTAGTTATGGTGCTTCTTATCTCAGTCTTCATCAGAAATAATATTCTATTATTGAGTTAATAGAATAATGTATTAGTTATTCAAGTAACTATTTATTACAGGTGGCACAAACAGTTTCAAATTGTAGAAGTAGCATACCCTGAAGTCTCCTCCTGAGTTGAAATTCCAAGAAATCAGCGTGAGAAACATAACCATCAATTAGACATGGTTTCCCTGTCATTTCACCCAGGATAGTTCTAAACCAAGTGAGATCTAGATTACTCTTCTTAAGAAGGTGTTTTTCTTACCTTTTGTTATTTTTAATGCAAATAAATGTGGATCATCTATGAATCCTTGAATTTCTTTGCCTTTTGGATACTCTGCCTTTCCACCAAGAACTTCCCAGAAAACATCAGGTTCATTCCCTTCCCTCACAGAAACAGGTAGCCATTTTGTCTGCAGGTTTGCATCAAGAAATAATGAGTTAACACCATAACAAGAACTATATTGTCTTGTAGTTTAATATAAATTCAAATGAAAAACTTGTTGCTAAATGTTTCCTTTTAGTGACTTTCACATAGAAAAATATTCTAGCACCAAATATCAATTGCAATGACGTACATTAAGTAGCTCCACCAGTCTATCAAGAAGATTATGGTCTCTAGCAGAAGACAGACTCCCAATCCAAGTATAGATAGATCCTTCATTTTGCAGAATGTAGCAATAGGATGAATTCAGGGAGGTTGAAACCTATAACAATTTTAGTACATAGTCAACACTTACTGGCCAATAGCTTTGCTCAAAGCCTTTGTGTACACTTTGGTAATTAGAGAAAAGATATAATAAAGATAAAAAAAAAGGACTCCACTATGGATAAAAAGTCAAATTAATAGAAACTTACTTGATCAACTTGGATGGCCTGCATATTATCTAGACTTGTACCTTGTACTCGAAACAAAGCAACCAGGTTTTCATTGTAAGTGTCATCCACCATACCTTTTTCTTCAATAAAGTTTCTATACCCTGAACTGTTTCCCCCCTTACAAGAACAAAAATGAAGAATTTGGAGCATGTGACATTTTTTAATATTAACACAACTTGAAAATTTGATTTGGAGCACATACCTTGAATACAACTAGTCTGTGAAGTATTGAGAAAAACTGAGCTGGTTCTTTACCCTCATGGATTTGAGCCTGAACAGACATGTGATTTAAATTGAATATATTAGGCAGAATTATATGCAGGAAAGTTATGTCTTTTACACGAATGTGCTCAATTTTGCAGAATGTAGCAAAAAGTAGCTAGCACCTATTGTGAAGATAAAAATTGTACACATATTTCCCAAGAGTATAATTTCATCATTGCACATATTCGATCAACCTAGTATAAGAGTTGGCATAGGAAGAACAGCACTAACCATAACTGGATTAGTTCTGATTGAATCAGCCATGGTACTCATGTGGGAAATGACAGCTGTTTTATCCTCCTGCAGGAAAAATCATAGAACTAAAGGTCAGTTTGGGTAAGGATTATTGACAACAACCAAGCCTATTTCAAAAAATGAGATTAAAAGTTTATCATTGTTACAGAAGTTGAAGAACTGAGTACTACATGGAAGACATATCGAGTATTTTAGACACATTGAAAAAACTACCTAATGGAAGACAGAAAACCTTGACTAGTGTCTACTGTTGAACATAGTGAAAAATAGGTTTGAGATTAATCTTCCTTGTGTAGAAAATACACATAGGATAATGTATTTATAATAAAAGAAATATGAACTAAATCCAAAATATAAATAAAGAATAATAACAAAGTAACTAAAGATAAAGATAAGATATCTAATAATGTAATATATCTAACACTCTCCCTCAAGATAGTACATACAAATCGTATGTATCAAGTTTGTTACAAATATAATCAATTTTTTGTATCCTTAAAAGACTTAGTGAAAATATCTATTAACTGATCACTTGAAATAACGAATTCAGTTTTGATGTCTCAAAATACAATCTTCCTTCGAATGAAATCACAGTAAATGTCAATGTGTTTGGTCCTCTCATGAAAGACATGATTAGAACTAATATGAAGAGCAGCCTGATTGTCACATGTAAGTGTCATTTGAGTGACATCTCCAAATCGTAACTCTCTAAGCAATTGTTTAATCCAAACAAACTCACAAGTGGCTCAGATCATAGCTTTATATTTTGATTCTACACTAGATCTTGCCACAACACTTTGTTTCTTGTTTTTCCAAGAGATCAAGTTACCATCAATAGAGACACAATATTTGGATGTAGACCTTCTATCAGAAGAAGATCCTGCTCAATCAACATTTGAATAACAAACAACTCTTGTATGGTTATTGGAACCATATAACAACCTTTTTCCAAGAGCTCCTCTAATGTACTTTAATTTATAGATGACTACATTCCAATGATCTTCACATGGGGAATTAAGAAATTGGATTACCATACTAATTGTAAAGAAAATGTCAACACGAGTAACTGTAAGATGATTTAATTTTCCAACTAGTTTTCTATATTGCTCGAGATCTGACATAGTCTCCCCCTGATTTGGTAGAAGTTTAGTATTAGGATCCATGGCGTGTCAACAAATTTTGAATTCATCAACCTAGTTTCCTCTAAAATATTCAATGCATACTTCCTTTGAGATATAAAAATATGATCGTTCGATTGTACCACCTCAATACCTAAGAAATATTGAGTTTGCCAAGATCTTTAGCCTAAAAATGGTGACAAAAATGTTATTTCATCTAAGAGGTGTCATGGTTGTCACTACCTGTCAGAAACCGTGATTGGCGTGATAGAGATCGGCATGGTGTATTTTAGGAAGTTTTATATTTGATGTGCTGTATTTTTTGTAACAGTTATGTGCTGCCTCTATTAGGTTCATTTATGTTTGATTGATCCCGTAATCACAGGGATCTATCCCTTAGAATTAGCAGTCCATGTTTCCTAAAATATGCTGCAGACTTATGTATTTATATAAGGGTTAATAACCTCTTAATTGAATAAGAAAGAATTATATTCCTTCTAAATTTGAGACTACCTGTAAGAATGATGTCGTCAACATATACTATCAAGTAGACACATCTAACACTCGACTGACAATAAAAGACTAAATGATCTGCCTCACATCGAGTCATACCAAATTGTTGAACAACGTTGCTAAATTTTCCAAACTAGGCCCTAGGAGACTATTTTAGCCCATATAAGGATTTGCGAAGACCACCTACCAACCTAGAAAACTCCCCCTAAGCAACAAATCGTTGTTCCATATAAATCACTTCTTGCAAATCTCCATTGAAGAATGCATTTTTTAACATCCAATTGATAAAGAGGTCATTGTACAAGAGTAGTCATGGCTATAAATAAACGAACAAAAGTCATCTTTGCCACTGGAGATCATCATAATCCAACCCAAAAATTTGTGTGTAACCTTTTGGCCACAAGACGAGCTTTGAAGCGATCAATAGTACCATCAAGACCAACTTTGATAGAAAAAACCCACCTGCAATCAACAACAGATTTCTCGGACGATAATGGGACAAACTCCTATGTTCCACTAGTCTGAAGAACACTTAGTTCATCTAGCATGGCCTAATGCCAATCAGGATGGGCTAAGGCATCACTGACAAATTTTTAAATGGTCATAGAAGACAGACGAAAGGTAAGTATAAAAAGGTGAAGATAATCTATGATAACTCAAAGCACTATAATGTAGAGAGGGATTTCGAGTAGAATGGATAACTTTTCGAAGGGCAATTGGAAGATCAGACTCAGAGCGGTCGCCGGTTTGAATTGGAACTATAGAGAGGTTGAGGGCGGCTCTGGTGGTGGCAACAGTTGCAATGGTAGAGGCAACGAAATTTTTTCTAAAAACAGACTTAGGCTCAAGATTCATGTTGAACATGGTGAAAAGTAGGTTTGAGATTAATCTCCCTTGTATAGAAAATACACGTAGGATACCGTATATATAATAAAAGAAATATGGGCTAACCTCAAATACAAATAAAGAATAATAATAAAGTAACTGAAGATTAAAAAAATATCAAGATAAGATATCTAATAATCTAATATATCTAACTCCTACCATTACACTTTTGGAGCCAATCCAAGCATAAAATAGTGTCTCATCTCTTCCATTTCCTGGAAATGTATACTGTACAATATAGCAATCTCCACTGTAAAGCTTTGTCAATTCAGTTACTGAAAGAAGGGACAATTCATCACCATCCACCCGCCAAACCTGATATTGCAGTATTCAGTAAGGACAACACAGGAAAAAGAGAACATGATCACTGGAAACGGAGAAATATATAGGTTTTGAGCAAGAAGATACTTTTATTGTGCCACTACAATCTATAGATGGTTCGTTGTCTTCTTCAGGAAGTTCTTTCACCTCATAACCCTGGTGCTTGAATATGGCTGAGGCAGAAAAAACAAACGTAAAGAAAAGAACAATAGAGTACACACTAACTGTAAACTTCTTAAACACGAGTAGTGTGTATAAGATACTAAACCTGCCACTTTTTCTTTGCCTTCCTCATAAAGCCTAAGCTCCACTGTTTTAGGCCAATTAGTAAAGTATGACCGAAAGATGGTACTTTCCAATCCTTCTGACAAAAATGTCAAATGAGTCTTGCTTGATCTGCCTTCATTTCTGACAAAATCCTATTAAAATGGACATAATAGTGAGCATAGGAAATGCCCTCAATACAATGCTTATGGAAAAGTACAATTGACAACATGAATTAGTGTAACTCAGTGTAACTCAACTGTCCTACCATTACAGTTACAAAGAATTAGGTGGCGTTTATCTTATCATTAAAAATTATAAATAATTTTGACTCCAAGGAAAATAGTATAAAAGTAACTTTGAATGAAGAAAACTACCCAATAATATATATTTCTTTAGTAAGATAAGTTTCAGAACAAAGGTGAACATCAAGTGAGTGCCAGGGATGAACTGCAGTCAACAAGGGAGTGGATTGTGAGTGGGATTGAGTTTATAAGTGAAAGTTTGACATCAATAAACTAATCCTAACTCTTTTTTTACCATAAGATAATGGTAAAACATACAGACTGGAAAGCTGGCATATTTACAGTTTCCATGAAACAAAATAAACTCAAGAGAGTCTTACTTCTATAGCTCTGGTGGCTGTTCTTCTTTCAGTCAATAAAGTCTGCCTTCCCATCCAGACAAAAATCTCACTATCACAGTCCAACATATAACACTTGTCTGTCTCAAGCATTTCTTTGCTGAATACATTAGTTCCACTCTCACAAAGTTTTCCCTGTAAATTTATCCTGTTGAGATGTGAAAAAGCAACCCCTCTTTAGCAAAGAGTTACAAATTTCTTGAAGTTAACCAACTAATAAAGTAATTTAGGTTAGTCAATAAACTGTGATGCCCTTAATTGAATAAGTTAATTAAACTTGTATGTTTTACGTAGAAATAATCTTGACAAGTATGATTCGGCAACACGTGCCTTGATGCATGCACACAAACATTATGCAAATAGGTTTATAAACCTCACCAAAATAGCTTTAGAGGAGGAGCCTCAGATTCTTGCACAGGAGGCTGTTCTCGAGGAATGGGAGCGTAACCACCAAATAAACTCCAGAATTCACCCACATCGGAATCACCAACAAATTTTCCATCCTCTACAGCAAATAGTAAAATTATGATTGCAACATCTTTCCCTCAGAAAACGGGAATAAGCAGTAAAAAAGTTGTGTAACCTATAGTTGCCACTTCGCACTTTCCACCATGTTTATTCTCCTTGATATACTGAACAACCTCCAAAGCTTTAGCTCTTTCTTGAATGGTAGAGTTGCACCCACTGAAGAGGAAGATTTTTAAGGCCGTGTCAAGGATGAATACATCTTCATGATTCAACGATGTCCTCATAAAAGGCACCTAATGAATATATATATATATATATTTATATAAGTGCGTTTGAGACAGGCTATAGTAATATAATAACTCAAAACAATTGAAAGTCTGTAAGCAAGAAAAGAAAATGGAACTGAGAGCTATGCTGTCTGAAACTAACATGTATAACCCCAGCACAGATCGTCATTGATATTAATATTATCTCATCTAAAGTCATTAATCATTGCTTCATCCCCTCATAGAAATCACAGTCAACAACAACAAAAAACTAGAAATTATACAGTAGCAGTTAATTATCAAATTTCATAAACAACTCACTTCCTTCACATGAACAACATAATCTCCCTTGCAAGTATACAGGTGGACTTGATATTCACCATTCAAACTCCCCTGTTTCGAAGTAAACACTCCTTCAATGGGTATAAGACAAGGCCTGAAGTATGATAGAAACTTCTGCGATTCTTGGCCTTGAATTTCCCTGTATTGAACACTACACGATCCTAATGCTGCATCCAGCTCAAGTGCCTTTTCTGATGCCAAGCTTGAATCTACCTGTCAAAACTTTATTGACTGTGAAACAATGCTGATCATGCTATGTATTCACAATTAGTACTGCAGCATTCATACACATTTAAAAACTACGTTCACTGTTTAATGTATTAAAATCAAATGTTGTGTTGTGAATAGATATTTGTTACAAAATATTCATTACCTTCTTTGATCTATTTAACCTGATCTAAATCACCAAGCAAATATTGGATAAACAAATAGAAACCCATAGTCTTTGTTTTGCTGTTAGATAAACAGAAATTACACCTAAAGCAAGTTTTATTGAGGAAATCTTGGTACTGTAAATTATGTTAGGTAAACTTAAGTGAAATAAAATTAAATGGGTTGTTTTATGGGTAATTAATTTGTTTAGGAGTTTTGTCTGTTTTGGAATACAAGGGTCAGAAGATTATTGTATTGGTTAATAGGTAATAATTGTGTCTTGATAGTAGGTTTAAGGCTTGGAGATGAAAAGTCAAATTATATACTATAAATTGTAATGTTTTTTATTAAATGAAAAATACAAGAAAAGTGAATCAGATTATTCCCAAAAGAAGCTTGACAAAGAGCATAGAGAGCTCACATAGCCCGGTAGAGCATGTGGAAAGAACATGTAGATTGCTAGGTTGGGATAAAATCATAAAAATACAGTTTCACATTCCCTAAATGGGATAAAATCATAAAAATACATTTCTATACAGTTTCACTCTCGTCTCAGATTATATAACAATTGATTACAGTAAACATTATGAGAAACATGACAATAAATGTTTATAGGAAAATGGAGGACCACACCATCATGTGAGTAAAAAGAACAAGGAACTATTTGAGGGAAAAAAACTAAGGGCACATATACAGCCTAAAAATATTTACCAGCCGAAAAATAACAGTAACATTATCACTACAAGCAAGACAACTAAAAAAGAAAGGATATAAACCTTCTTTGCTTCACTTCCCAGCCAATAATGTATGTCATAATGAGGAGGTCCAATTTTCGGAAAGACGGCCTGTTTCAAAAAACACATAAAAATGTCTGCATCAATTTAAAGAATTTAGGTGAAAATTATGCTCATACTGACAAGGAACTGTTATGACATCATTATCGTGAAGGTGTCTTAACATCATTATGTTAAGACATCAAAAGGGGATATCGAAACTCAGAAGAGATGATGAAGAGAAACTTTGAAATTTTGGATTTAAATGAGATATAGGAAGCAAATTCTTCATGCATTCAAAAGGTGAGCAATATCTTACATTCAAGACTAAGTATGCACTTCCGGTATAGAATTTTCCATGACTTGACTTTGACACCGAAACCAACTGCTGGTTCTCAATACACCAAATTTCTAATCCTCTAAGAACATTAAGCTAAGTATAAAACAGAAACTTGAACGAGAAACTGATACATTTAAAAGTTAAGTTTACAGCTGAAACACAAATCTAGTAGAACTAGAATAAAAGTCAAGGGATAAGCATCCAGGTGAAGAATTTTATGTGCTTCCCAACTATTTTTAAAATGTAGCACGATTACAATGCAGGAATCTTCTCTGCTATCATTTTATATTTCCTTTTTCTACATAATCAATAAATAAGACATTCACCAGTGCCTGAGGAAACCCTTTGCAATTGACATGGTTAATGCTAGTTTAAACCAGCTATGTTTTGGCGCCTTTGTCATCAGAAATTAATACCAATTCTATTTTTCCTGGCATGAAAGAAAAAACTGAACACAAAAAACTAACTACTTCCTGTTCAACAGACTAACACAAATTATGAACAATTGAAAAGAAAATTGTTGTAAGGATACGGGTTTGCTCCTGCCGTTTGGAATGCAGAATCCATTTCTTTAGTGGCAATAGGCATTGAGTCTGTGGCTATAATACTCCAGCCAAAAACCCCAACACTAGATTATTCTGCAATCCAGGATTTAAAATACGTTAGTCCTCAGATCCTGAGATATATATGTTAACAATAGGATTGCTCTTTCCCGAGCATATATTAATACTTATCTAGTAAGGGTTAAGGTGGCAACACATTAATGACTTTATATTATAACTGTATCTATAGTCCAGAAGCAATGCTATAATAAACAAATAATCATGGTAAGCAAAGAGATGCTACCATTGTGCAATTAATTTAAAACAGCTAAGATTTCACTTAAAGAACTTATGCAACGATGACAGTTACATGACTACTGATTACTCAACCATAATGCTAGAAAGTTAATTTAAGAATTTAATTCTATTGAATAAATAAACCAATGAATGACAGCTGTTATCACTAAATTTATTGTCTTTTCTTCATGTAATTACAGAAAAAAAAGCATCACTCAAAGTTCTAATTATTTTGGTTATGAAACATTCAAAAGGAAAATGTGTATCAGACTTTAAAAGCATTCATATTCTGTTTCTGCAATGCCTATAGGTCTAACCTCTGTCATTTTTCTGGTCAAGTAACAATGATGAAGGTAAATAAATTAAATTTCCACCAAGACATCAAGAATTTAAAAGAAAAAAGTCATTCAGGTAATCAACTTGATAACTTAGGAAAGTCGACACTAGCAAGAAATCTAAACTAAATACTAAACAAAACGCATCAAATTTCAGAAAAAATTTGATGAAACTAACCCAACACACAATTCCCAAAATCAACACAACTCTCAGACTGCACCGAAACGAATCTATATCAGTCAACAATACCCAGAACCGATCCTACCCCAAAGTCCTCATCTCATATTTAAGCCTCGGAAACAAATACACCAAGCATCAATCAACCAGCCGCCGCAAGTCCATTCATTCCTTTGGGAAAACAAAGTCAAAAAGGCAATAAAAATGCAAGAAAAAGGGAGAGAAAAAAGATAATCTACAGCAAAAAAGCACAAAGCATGAACAAATTCAAAGAGCAAACAAGAACCAACCATAAAGGCCGTTCATTCCTTGGGCAAAACAAAGTCAAAAGACGATAACAATGCTAAAAAGGGAGAGAAAAAAGATGATCCACTGCAATCAAACACAAAGCGTGAACATTCAAAGAGCAGACAAGACTCATTTGACCAGCAGGGTAGATCATAGTCCGCACACACCTCGATTCAACAGCAGATTCAGGAGCTACCACCAAGTGATGGTGATGGTTGAACAGACAGGGAAAGAACAAAACTTGGATATTCCCATTTGAAAAGCCAAGGCCGAAGACAAACAAAATGAAGTCTTTATATTGGAGGGTGGTAAAATGGCATTGGAATGATGAAAACAGCGTTTGGTGGAGAAAGAGACTTGAGATAAAGCAAAAACAAAAACAAAAAATTGAAAAGCATGGTTATCTTTACCGTCCAGCTTGTATATGGGGCCCACAAGAGTGGCTTTCTAGTTGTGCACTTTGCAGTGTGGTTGATGGAAAGAGGGTGATGATGATGAAGTGTGATGTGGTGTGGTGTCTGTTTTACGCCTTCTGGTGTTACCTAGACAGTGAGAAACATTGCAATGGAAACCATAATCATAGAGAGAGATTTCCAAACTCAAATGTGACTTTCAACACTCTCTTGAAAGTTCTGACAGACCTCTCTGACATAGGATGGTATATATTCACACCTATACATATATATTTTCAGTGTCTCTGTCTCTTTGTTTGTGTAACATATTCTTTTCTTTTTTCCTATACATGATAACAAATAAAATATAACTTTTATTGTCTTATTTATATTTTAGATTTTGTTTTAACCTTTTAGATTTAAAATGAATTACTTTGTTCGTTATGGTGGTTCTGTTAAAACCAAATCAGTCTTTTCACCAGTTTTTGACAGAAACAGTGACAGTTTTAACTGATATGTGTCTTCAATTTAGTGGAAGGATTAAATTGGTCTAATAGATGGTTTTCAAATATTAAAATTAAAATTTTACATGATTAAAATGAAACTTAAAAAGTAAAAAGGATATCAAAATTATTTTGATTAATAAAATAAAACAGATGCATTTTTAGTTTGAGTCAAACTTGAAGAAGTAGAGGCTAGATGTATTCGATCTGTTTGACATTTTTTATTAATCACTTTGTTCTTTAAATTTTAGAAGATGGGCAGATTTATTTTTTATACTTTTAAAAAGGGGTGATTAATTTTTCATGTTTTTAAAGTATGACTAGTAAATTTGTGGATATTAAAGAATGGAGACTTCAATTAGTTTAATTGAAAATAACTTTTTTTAACAAATTTCTAAAGATTTTGATAGAATTACTATATTTGAGCAAGAAATAAATGAACTTGAACAGAGAAGGAGTAATTGTTTATTTATAACAGCATTAAAATTCTTAAATAAAGTTAAGATACTATAGAAAATTTCTCGTTGCTATGCGGCTGAATTATACAAATTGTATTGAATTATTATAAAAAAATTAAATAAAAGTTTGTATTTTAAAACTTACAGTTAAGTTGATAGGCTTATGATTTCTTTGTAATTAATTCATCGATGTAGGGATTTTGTGAATAAATCGGAAAGTTGGATATTTAATTAAAAATAAATAGATAAGTACTTCAAAGATCTCTTTAATTTAGTTTATTTCTTCGAATTATTTTGCTTCTTACATCTTGGTCAAACAATGTCATTAACTGTGTGTTTAGAAATTGGATAAGGTGTTTAAAAAGGGGAAAGTAATTTTTCTTTAAAATTCTTTTTGACTAAACATTGTTGATTAGATATTTTATTACATTACATTCAATAATTTAGTAATTTTAATAGAAAAATGCACTTAACTGAAATTCAGGAATTATATATTATATTTAAAAATTAAGATTTAAAAAAATCCCTCTTTCTCTCTCTCTTCTCTCCCCCTCCTCTCTCCCTCCTCTCTCGTATTTTTTTAAAGGACTGTTGTTTAAACTAAAGTTATCATTATATTTTCAAAAATTACATTCTGAAATATGATAACTAAGAAACTTATTCTCAAATATTAAAAATTGTTCTACGTTACATTTTAATTCTTAAAATATTTTTTAAATTTAAAATAATTTAAATTAAATATAACTAAAAATTAAATATATTGGGTACATTGAAAAAGTAACTTTCAATGTTTTTAAGTGGAATATCACTCTTTTGGGAATTAAAATGTAAAAAGTATTATAAAAAGAAATTTACAAATTTTAAAAATAAATAAATAAAACCTAAATAGTTTTCAAATCTTCTAATAAAATTCGTCAAAACAAAGTGTCGTGATATGTTTAACCAACATATGATATCAATCAAAGACATTACATAAATAATATAGAACGATATATATAATGTAACACAGTCAAAGGAATATAATATAATAATAGTATTAAAACGTAAAAGTGAATGAATGTGTGACAGAGGCAAACCGACATCTTTGTCGTTATTTTCCGTTCTTCTACTCTTCCATATGCAAGTCTTTTTCCTTCTTTTTTTTTCCTTTAATTTTTTTTATTCTCATCTATTTTATAAATGGATTACACCGAGTAGTTGGAGGATTAAAGAGATTGAATTTTTAAATATAATAAGTTCTTATTTTACCCTATTAAATATTTCTTTTTAATTTCTTTTATTGTTTTAGTTATGTATAATTGAGAAAAGTGGTCATCTCAATTAATTTATTTTATATTGAATTTTTGTATTGTTTTTCGACATATTATAGTAGGTTTTTGTTCAGATAGCATTATCTATTAGAATGTGTTTACTTAAGGAAAATGAGTTGGGAATGAGAAATTGAATGAATTTGAGAGTAAATTGTTTATTATTAACTTTAATTAATTTGAAGGTGATTGAGAGTAGATTTAAAAATAAAATTTATGAAAATTTATGTAAGATTTGATCGATGTGATAAATAAAAAAATGTATTAATTGATAAAAATTAAAGATTATCAAAATGTCTTTAATAATAACAGTAATATAAAATGATATTGATTAGTAACATATTTATCGCTAAAACAAGTTTTGAGTATTAAAATAAATTAATAAAAAGTTAAAAAGAATATATTTAAGTAAAGTAAACTTATTTTGCTTAAAATTTAATTTTTTAAAAATATAATTTAGTTATAAGTTATCTAATTATTGCTTTTATAGTCAAATTGTATATTTATAATAATCCATAATAAAATGAAGTTAAAATATCGTACGAGATACAAAATATACTTAGATAATAAATAAAGTATCACACTCACTTTATAGTGTAAACTAATCATATTGAAAGTGAGGTCTTGATAATTTTCATTGGCAACTGTTTAGTAGTAACTCTAGTCTAAGAAAAAAAAAATTTATAGATGTATGAAATGGTGGAGAAAATGATGGTGAATCCAGACGAGGCATTGAAGATAATGAAGGTCATGGAAGAATGGTAGTGTACCAAAACTCTTTATGTCTACTAGCGAACCAAAGCACCGGTTAAAGCAACTTAGCCATATGTTTGGTAACAAAGATAAACCATTAAGCTAGTCTATCTAAAAACAAGAGGTAAATGCTTGAAAAAAAAAATAGTTCGACATTCTTTCTCAAGTTTCTTTGGCAATAGAAAGTCATATTTACCTTAAAAAAGCCTCATAAACCTGAAAACTTATACCCTGTTGGTTACTCTTCATATAATGAGGTAAGGGGTTGCAATGCACTACGTGGAATCGATTAAGCTAAGTGTGGGATTGGTTACGCCCACCATGAAATCGATTACAGGTATCACTGGAAACGGTTATAGCTTCTTCTTCAAGACTCCATCTTCGATCTTCGTTTGAACTTTCGTATTCACTTTGGAAACCACTCACGTGAAAGTGCATCAACCCACTAATGGACATCGAATGGGGTACAACAATTACAAGGTTCACCTTGACATGCAAAGGAGGAATTATGGTAATTGTAGAAGGGCAAAATTGATATTTATCATTTAATCCCTTCAAATATTCGTGTTTCAGACATGATTAAAAACACCATTCATCCCGCGATTCATCGCCTTGCCTCGTTTTGAATTCCCTCAAACCGAACACCATATTAATAGTTAATTTGTCTTCGTTGATCCTCTTGAACAATACAATCCTCCAAGCGAACACAATTTTAGTCTGTAGAAGTTTAGCTCTAAAAATAGTTATTTTTAGGTTAACTAAGCTAACTAGTAAAAATTTATGATGCTATTGTTTAAATTTATTGTGGTGTTGATAAGATTATGGTAAATGTTTATGATATTAAACTTTGTTTCGTATAATGGTTGATTATGTTGTGTTGTAGAGTTAAACTACATAATTTGTTTAAATTGTTTTATGGAGTATAAGAATTGTCACTTGGATTATCTAAGCAATTTTATCATTAAACAAAATATATTTTGATACAATAAAGGAATAAAATGACTCAAATGGGACGAATTAATACCTTTGAATTTGTTTATGAATTATGCAGTCTTGTTAGACGAGGCCTTAGAGTCGCTTAAAGAAAATGTGGATCATATCCTCATTGGACGAGTGTTAACTCATTGACAAGTGTACCAAATCGTTCAAGTAATATAAAATGGTAAGACCAAATATCGTTTCCCAAGAGACTCGTGTAATAATAAATCGTATAATGACTTAACTAATTAAGACTAAAGAATAATCCCATTGAATGAACTTTAAATGCAATGAAATTAAGCATGATACTTTAAATGTAAATTGATCTTTTGTAGCTAAAACAAGAGTGAATGAATGAAATTAATATGATATGAGATGGTGGTATTGGGGTTAGATTTCGCCTACTTCACTTTCATGCATATTGGAACCCATCTTCTTCATTGAAATGCTAATGCCAACTTTCTAGATTACTTCAAACCCAATTCCTTAATGGAAAAAACCTATATTTGATTATTAGACATCAATCTCTTGAAAAACCTTAATAATCAATTCTGTATTAAGAGAAAAAGTTAATGACAACTAAAGGTCATATCTCTATTTCTAAATAATATTTCCTTTAGGTAGATTACTCCAAATCACGATTCATAAGCTATTTCCCAATAACAAATAAATCCAAACATCAAGTTATGAATGACCAAAAACATAACAAGCATTAAGAATAGGAGAAAATCACTAACATTCAATGAAAGAAGCTTAATATATTCAAAACATGTTCAAATACATGAAGTTCAGATGTTACATCTTTCCCCAACAACAAATAAATTTAACTCTCCATTGTCTTGGAAAACCTTGGCTTATAATGGAAGAATGTGGAAGAGATGAAAACCCAAGGAAGAGAAAGGGAGAGCTACCACACGCCCAATCTTGCTCCAAGAGGTCAAAATTAGGGTTTTTGTGCTTCCGTCGTTCAAAGACATCCACCCTATCACGTAAAAGCCTTTAAATAGGTCAAGAATGCCACGTCAGCATAAGTGACTGACGCTTAGCGCCCTAATTGGGTGCCCAGGCGCAGCTGCGTGTTGAATGACGTTTAGCGCCCGTAGAGGTGGCGCTCAGGCGTCCTTGCGTGGTGAGTGGCGCTCAGCGCCCCTAGAGTGGGCGTCTAGGCGTAGTTGTGTGGCCCTTAGCCCTCAGCGCCCAAGCGTTCCTGCGCCTTCTTCAGCCTTGTAGTTCGGTGCTTTTGTTGTTCTTCACTGGGTTCCAACTCCTTAATAATTTGATCATCTTCCAAACATACAGTAACCTACAAACTTTAGGGAAATTAGTGATGAAAATCATTAAGTATAACCTCAACTAACTTATTCACAAAATTCAGATAAAAACGAGAATTTAAGCAAGCTTCAGGCTCAAAGAAAGTTGATTTGGTATCAAAATTACACCACAGATAATGGTAAGATTTACCGTTATCAACGAGCCAAATAAAATTTAGCTCCTAAACATGAGCTAAAAGGGTCACAAAAAGAAAGCATTTTATCTTAATTCCATGAAGTATGAGATCTTGGCCATTGGTGAGCGAGACTCTCACTACATGATTTTTTGAGGATTTTACTCTTAGTACTTGCTCTTCGGGCAAAGAAATTTATTTTGAAAACAAATAGCATGGGTTTTGACATTTGTTGGGCGAGTCATATAATCACTGAGCAAGTCTTTCATTCAAGGTGACTTGTTGGGTGAAAGACTAGAGGCATAAATTTTTTAAAACTATAAATAAACATAGTTAAAATGTCTTAAATCTTGTGTTTAATTAACTTAATTGTTTTGGAATAAGACATATGGTTTGTATGGATATTGTGAATGTAGTGACTTATAGGCAATGAGTACTACATGGATGTGATGTGGTGTTAAGTGATGTATTGAAAAGAATTTCGTAAATACTATTCTAACTCTGTTATTATGAAACTCACAAAGGTAAATATCTAGTTGTGAGAGTTGAAAGAGGTTCCTACAAAGCTTCAATGTAAAAAAGGATCATACCTTGTAGTTATAAAATTTTACCCCGACCATACTTAAGAGAGATTGGTGTTTTGGTATGAATCTATAAGTATAGCTCCTGAGAGGCAGGAATAAGGGATGACAAATGCAAAATCTCTGAGTTTGCTCAATACATTGATCTTCCGGAAGTAAAGTCAAATGTCTATGTTATGATCGAGCCATGAGAGTTGTGTTGTGATGATTGAGCCGTGAGGGTTGTATTATTTGATAGACATTTGATTATTGTAGTTAGTTGTTGATCTGGAGTTGATGATGACTTTTGTTTGTAAAGTAAGCTTTAATGTTGCATCAAATTTATGATAGAGATGGAAAAAGAGTGATAAATAGGTGAGGTATTGATTTGTTGCTTTTTGGATTGATGATAATGTTGGTTTATGTAGTATTGCTCAATTTTCACTTGCTTGACCTTTACCTTTTGTGTTGTTTGTGAATTGTCCATCGGTGATGATTATATGCAATACACGAGCACAAGTTCATCCAGATGATAGTGAGGAGTAGTTGTGAGGTTGCAGAGTTTCTAGTTTATTTGTTGTGGAAATGTAATTAGAATGTATATATAAATTTATGCACCTTTGTATATTATAAAACCCTTAGACTGACTAAAACAAGTCCTTTTTGAACAACATTGTCTACCCTTAAACATACTGACATAAGTCCTTTTTTTAACACTTTCATGTGTATGTGTGTATGCGTGCGCGTGTGCGCGTGTGTGTGTGTGTATGTTATTATGCATGTGTGTGTGTGTGCGTGTGTTCAAAAATACCCACAACTTCCTAATACTTTAGTTTAGACTGACCAAAATGACACATCCTATAAAGTGCAATAATCACAAGGCACATGCACATCACATTTTTAAGTTTATCTCAAGAAATATCACAAAATCAAATTCACCACATAATTGAAGTCAATACTCACACATTAGTTTATACAACTAAGCATAACCATGCAATCAAATATTTATAGTTTCCCTTACTTGGAGTGTAAAATTCTTGAGTCAAAGGTTGCTCCTAAAGACTTTAGTACTCACAAGATACTCTGACTACCAATGAAAACTTTGAGTAAAGATTAGAACTCACCCTCATGACCTTATACAAATAAATTTTCACCTTAAATTATTTTGAATCACATGCAACTCAAAACAGTAAAAATAGATTAAAAAAAGAACTTACTATATTTTTAACTTTGATTGGTTATTCTTTGTAGGGATCCTTCTTATGGTCTATGATCAAACAGATGAAGGATGAAGTAACAACTTTAGAAAGAAGCATAAAGGAGTTTTAAAAAAGAGATAATGTTTTTTTTTATAAAATTAACTTCGATTAATAAAAAAAAATATTTATAGTCTAACATTTTAAATAATAAAATAATTGGGTGTCATTTTTTAAAAATCACTATCACTTTTTATTATTTTCTAAGTCTTAACATTCTCCCTAACAAAAAAAAAAAGAATTGACTTCAAAAATTCACTTATAAAAAAAATGTGAGGATAAAACTTTCTCTTAACTTCTTATAACCTTGAATTGATAGTCTTTCCTTTAAGTTGCTTGTTTTGATGATCTTTTATTCTCACTAGTTCAACTTCAGTTGAAAGATTTCTTCTTACGTGAATCTCATCAAACTTCAATACATGAAAAGAATGTATCACATATATATACTTCCTTAGTTAAAAGATGTGAAACATGCTTGTGAAGATTTGTTAGGTGAAGGAGTAAAACAATCTCATAAATTATTGAACCAATTCTCCTCAAAATTTAACAGGTCTATTAAACTTAGGAAATAACTTTTAAATTAAATAACTTTTTTCATAAATAGTATGAGTTACCTTCAAGACGACAAATCAATACAATGAAATATGTTGAAAATATCATATGCTACCTAATAATGTAGTAAAATAAAAAATATTAAAAAAAACAAATGGCATTTTGGAAACCTAAATTTTAAGAAATTGTAATTACAATATTACCAAAACTTAGATGTTTTGTTGAAGATGACATCTTCCCCACACGACCATCTAAGGTATAAATCTTTATATATTTACCAATTAGAGTGTGTACTAGACAGGAATCTAGGATGAAAACTATCGGTGGAGAAGTAAAAACTTAAAATCACAATATTTTTATTTTCAAAAATATTAGAGATAAAATCTTTAACATATTCTTTCAAATTTAATTTTACAATTAGTTAATTTATTAAAAATATCATAATTTTGTGAGATTCATTTCTATTTATATTAACACGATTACGCAGTTTCTACTTGACTTTAATTAAGAAATAATGTTATTTAAAAAGTTGGATTAAAGTCTTCTTAATTTTTCAAAATCTCCAAAACTTTAATCGTACAAAACAATGCTCACTGCCAAAAATTAAATACAAGCAGGAGAACTACCACCTACTATCGACATATTACTAGCAAAAACAGATATGTACTTTATATATTTAATTTTTTTTATGATAAAATAGAAAACGATAAATACAATTCAAAATCTTAATATAATTATTATTAAAAATAAAAATATTTATGAAAACATTAGTAAAATCATAATAAAACTTATAAAAAATATTGTAATTATACATAAAAACATTTTAATTTTTTATATCACAATTACTCATTATTGGTATTTTTCTTAAATAGTACAAATTAAACAATTTATTGAACTATATATAAGTACAAAAAGGATACAAAAAAGTAAAGAAATGTGTATAATTCTTTTTTAAATTTTCTTTTCTTTTTAATTGCCAACAGATTACTGGGTAGTAAGTAATTTAATGTGGGACCCTTTTTTCAAAAAATAAAAGCAAGTAATTATAGTAACCGAAATTTAAAATGCAAGTAATAATTAAGATATAGGATTCTTCGTCAATTAAAAAAAGTTAACACTTGAAAAATACTAAAGTGTGAAGTTCTAACCCCACCATTTCAACATTTTTATTTTTATTTTTATCCATTTCTCAAAAATGTTTGCATCATTATATGCAATGGACCAACTTTTAGAGAAGTGAATTTTGTTCTCTTTTAACCTAAGAAGTTTGAGAGCAAAAAGAACATAGGGAGAGTTATTGAAGAAAGTATGATTAACCCTTTTAATTGTGTTGTGCACGCACTAAAAGTAACAACCTCCACACATCTTCATTTCATACAATCACAACTTTCTAATGTTATTTATGGCTTTTCAAGTTAAATCAATAGTATTCATTTCTTTATAATACCGTCAATCGGTTTATTTGAATTTAATATTAGTTTAAAATCTGGATTTATAAATATGTTAAATATAAAAAACTTTTTTATTTACTATAATTTTAAGGCTTAATACCTATTTTGGTCCCTCGAAGGGGCTAAATGTTCAATTGCGTCCTACGTTTTTTAAAAAGTTCAATGTGGTCCAAACTTGTGAAAAAAGTGTGCAATTAAATCCTTTTTGGTAACGGCGTTAATTTTTTAACGGGCCAACTAACAGAGTGTACTGAAGATTGCAACGTGTCTGGGGAAGGTTAATATGTGGCTGTGTGAGGTTAATAAGTGGCTATATTATTACAGATAACGTGGCAATGGTGAATAAATCAGAGGTTAGGGTTTGGATTCCTCCCAATTGGTCTTTGAGATACGAATGGCTTGTTCCGAAAGGTGTTCGTCTGCTTCGAAAAGTTGGGACAAAGGATCTTCGATCATATATGCGCTACATAATTTGTATTAATGGAATCATAGACAAATGAAAATTTTCAATGACTTTTAGTAAAGTATGCACAGTAAGAATGAACGGTAAACTCGATACTGTCATGACAATAATTTGTTGTACAAGTAGAGATACACCGTGACATTAAATTTTCGTGTACATATACAGAGATACAATTTTATGTACAGAGCGAGGAAATTCACTTCTCTAAAATTTTCGTGTCCCATTGCCAATAGACCTTCTCTATAATACCTCCACCACTTTTAACAGCGAGGTGAAGCGTCTCAAAAGCTGGTGGAACCCCCCACAATAATGGCACTGCAACAGTCATGGTTAGCTTCTCATGTAAATCACCTTTGCTTGCCTTCTCTACATCAATAACTTTTTGAAGATCCTTTGCCCCAACTTTTCGAAGCAGACGAACACCCTTCGGAACAAGCCATTCGTATCTCAAAGACCAATTGGGAGGAATCCAAACCCTAACCTCTGATTTATTCACCACTGCCACGTTATCTGTAATAATATAGCCACTTATTAACCTCACACAGCCACGTATTAACCTTCCCCAAACACGTTGCAATCTTCAGTACACCCTGTTAGCTGGCCCGTTAAAAAATTAATGCCGTTACCAAAAAGGATTTAATTGCACACGTTTTTCACAAGTTGGGACCACATTGAACTTTTTTAAAAACGTAGGATGCAATTGAACATTTGCCCTCTTTCGAGGGACCAAAAGAGGTATTAAACCTAATTTTAAATATCTCAAACAAATTTGCTTCTACTTATAATTTACATATGAAAAAACAGTATCAGTTTTATTAATATGAGATTAGATTATGAGTCAATTTTATTCAATAATACACTTAAATATGTTTTTGGTTTCTAATAAAAGTAAAAATTAGTTCATTTGTGAAATTTTCACATAATTTAGTTTGTCAGTTTTTAAATTTAATTTTTTTAACTAATTTTTGTTAAGTTTATTTAACGTTTCAAAAACATTTTATGATAATATTTGAATTGTTTATACTATTTAACACATTTTTTTAACGTTATTTAATAAATACTTTTGAAATCTTACATAAATTTAACAAAATTTAACTTAAAAAAATGATTAAATTTATCTTGTGATAAAAATAAAAACTAAATTAATCCAAAGTTTTAAAAAAAACTTACATTAAAAGTTTCTTATACACATATATAGTTTTATATTAATTTAAAATTAGTTGATAATAGTTTTAAAATTATATAAAGTATCTGCTATTTTATTATATAATGTGATTCATTAAAGTTTGGTCATTTGTTCTTTTGAGGAATCATGGTGCTAGTCATCCGGTCATCCCCAGCGTTTCAATTAATTGTTCAAGCAGGGACAATTCAGGAAATTCACCTCTTTATTTATATTTAGGTTTAATCATTCACGAAGTCCCTATTTTTGCGTGGAATCTCAATTTAGTCCCTTTGTTTCTGGAATTCTCAATTGGGTCCCAAATTTATGAAAATTGCAACAATTGGATCATTTCCGTTAAATTGTCTCCAACGGCGTTACTATGTGTTTGACGTGGCACGCTGTAGTCAGTTTCTTAACTGAGTGGTTGACTGAAGCAGGGGCAGTGAAGCACTGTGGATAATAACAATTTTTTAAGTAAAAATAAAATGAATGTTTTAAACCAAAATGGGGATTCAGATTTTGAATTGATCGAATTAGGGATTGGGATTGTTCTGAGTACTTCTAGGGTTCGGTTCGTCCAAAGCTCATTCCATTTCACAAATTGGGGTATCAATTTGGGTATTTAGGGTTTAATCGAAGTTGTGGTTGAAGATGCATCCTTTTTCGTCTTCGTCATGCAGCGGGTGGCAGAAGCAAGACAATAATGTGGTCTGTGGTGGTGCTCGAGGAGGATGTAACAATGGTGGTCCGTTGTGCTATTGTGGGATGAAATGTGTTGTCAGAACTTCAAGAACAGTTAAGAACAGAGGCAAGCAATTTTGGGGTTTTTTTGTTGGGTTTTTCGTTGTTCTTATTTTGAGTTCGAGGGTGCCCTGATTGGTGTTTTGTTGTCACAGAATGGTGGTGAAGATGGTGGTTGCAATTATTTCACATGGTGTGCAGATCATGGGGTTGTTGAAACGGAAACGAGTGCAAAGTGTGAAGGCAAGTCTGAGTCTTTGCTGAACAGAGAAGCAATGGAAGGTGGATGGAAGATTATAAGTGATTTGGACTTGTCAGTGAAGAAATTGGGAAATAGGGTTAATGTCTTATTAGGGATTGTCTGTGTTCTTGTTGTGGTGAACATTATTGTACTTACAATAGTGTTTTTTCGTTCATAGGAATGATTTCATTGTACTTATGATGGAATGTACTTAGAATGCAATGAACCAAAGTTATTTTGACTATAAAAGTTTGTATTGTTTGTAACTTTTGGTAAGTAATTCAAAGTATTGATTGAAACTTTTGGCCAAAATACTCTTCGTATTGAACTGTCAACTAATAAGCACAATCATATGAAGTGGTTTCAAAGTAAACTGATAAGCACAAATTACATAAACTTCATAGAATTTTCATTAATCTCAAGCACTATATAAAAGTAGAATGTGTTGATCTTTTTGAGTCATGCCCATTTTGGATGATTCCTGGAGATTTATGGATAGTAATTGGCAGAACAGTTCATTAATCTCAAGCAAAACCACACTATAACTTTTATAACCATGTTAAAATCAGAAACATAACCATGTTAAAAGATCAGCATAACATCAATGCACACAACAGATAAATGAAACCAAATTAAGCATATCTGCTGAAATTTAATTAATCTGAAGCAGTACATAAAACTGCTGTCATACAGACCAAAATAACCATAAAAACAGCATCAAGTTCCATCAGTTATCAACTGCAGTACCACAATAACACTGATTGGATGTCAAAAGCATAACGTTTTCCTACATCTACTGCTTTTCTACATAATGTTTTGTAGCCTAAAAAGACTACAAAATTTCATTCCTACAATCTACTATGGTTGATTCCCAGAGTGATGTGCTGTTTCAGATTGTTGAGTGGATGGAGTTGCTTGGGTTGCTGATGTACTGGGCACAATTCCTGCTTGGGTTGCTGATGGGCAACGAGTTCTGTTATGGCCATGTTCTCTACATATGCCACATCTCTTTTGCAAGCCAGATTTGGTCATTCTTGATTCATCCTTCCTCATTTCCCATTGCTCTAGTCTTTGTTTTCTCTTTGGTCTTCCAGGCAATACTCTTTTGTGTGGTGGAGACACATCAGGATATGGAGTAATGTTCCACATGTTGGCTCCATTCAAGGGATATATAATTGTTGAATATGTCTCCTCATATCTGGACTTCATGTAGCAAGAGTCAATAAATTGTTCTCCATCAATGTTGAGGAACTTCATTGCAGCCAATGAATGACAACAGGGGACTCCAGTCATCATCCAAGTTCTGCATGTGCATGAGGAGTCATCTATGTTGACTACGAACTTATCTCCATTGTTAGACATGTGACGAACTTCAAATAGCTTATTGCCTGACCAACTGTGTAGAAGAAGACAACAATAATTATTAACCACAGTAGTAAATTAATATAACATAGAAGTGATTACTGGAATTTACCTAGGAATCCAATTTTTAGTTAACTGAGATTCCTTTCTAAATCTGGATAGGATCTTGGGACAAATGGATCCAGTAAATGATGATATGCTTGACCTGTTCTTGGCCCATCTTTGCATGAGGTAAAGCCGTATCGTCTCCAACAAAGTAATCATGGGTTTACTCCTGGCAGAAACGAGGACATTGTTGAAGCCCTCACTCATATTGTTTACTAAGGTGTCAGATTTAGCTCTTTCAGTGAACCTTGATCTTGACCAATACCTACAACAAATAATAGAATTATTATTAACATCATATGAATAAGGAATTATGTTCTACTTTTGAAGACTAACCTTGGAGGGATGGCAATCAAATGCTTATAAGCATCTTCGTTCATTGCTCTTATGTTTCTCATTTCCATCTCCCATGTTTGTGGATGTGTGGCTGTAGCTGCCCTCCACATTAAACGCTTCAGGTTTTTACCAGGGTATTTCTTCCTGAAGTTGGCATACATATGCCTCACGCAAAACCTTTGATCAACTCTAGGAAGCAATTCATCTATTGCATGAAGTAGACCCTGCAAACAATATACAAGTAATGAATACAGGCAACAAATACTTAACAACCTCAAATTAAAATGTACAAATTAATATTACCTTCTGCTGGTCTGATATAAAGGTAAATGTGGAACAAATTTCAGCCCCTCCAAGGTCATCTACCAATAGTTCCAGGAACCACTTCCATGACTCCTTGTTCTCAACTTCAACAACACAGTATGCAATTGGCAACATCTGCTCATTCCCATCTCGGCCCACAGCTGTTAACAACTCACCACCGTACTTACCTTTCAAAAATGCTCCATCTAAACCAATAATTGGCCTGCATGACATAAAACTGTCTTTGCAAGCCTTTAAACATACATAGAATCTCTTGAAAATGACTTTACCCCCCACATCCTCAACCTTTAGTTTCACTGTTGACCCAGGATTTTTGGCCACCAACTCATGGGCATAATCATATAACCTTTTATACTGTTCTTTGAAAGAGCCATCAATTTGCTCTGTTGCTATGTTTTTGGCCCTATAGGCCATACACCTAGAAATACCAATGTTCCATTTCCTTTGAATTTTTTCCCTTATATCCACACCCTTAACTGTAGGANAAAAAGAACTTACTATATTTTTAACTTTGATTGGTTATTCTTTGTAGGGATCCTTCTTATGGTCTATGATCAAACAGATGAAGGATGAAGTAACAACTTTAGAAAGAAGCATAAAGGAGTTTTAAAAAAGAGATAATGTTTTTTTTTATAAAATTAACTTCGATTAATAAAAAAATATATTTATAGTCTAACATTTTAAATAATAAAATAATTGGGTGTCATTTTTTAAAAATCACTATCACTTTTTATTATTTTCTAAGTCTTAACATTCTCCCTAACAAAAAAAAAAAGAATTGACTTCAAAAATTCACTTATAAAAAAAATGTGAGGATAAAACTTTCTCTTAACTTCTTATAACCTTGAATTGATAGTCTTTCCTTTAAGTTGCTTGTTTTGATGATCTTTTATTCTCACTAGTTCAACTTCAGTTGAAAGATTTCTTCTTACGTGAATCTCATCAAACTTCAATACATGAAAAGAATGTATCACATATATATACTTCCTTAGTTAAAAGATGTGAAACATGCTTGTGAAGATTTGTTAGGTGAAGGAGTAAAACAATCTCATAAATTATTGAACCAATTCTCCTCAAAATTTAACAGGTCTATTAAACTTAGGAAATAACTTTTAAATTAAATAACTTTTTTCATAAATAGTATGAGTTACCTTCAAGACGACAAATCAATACAATGAAATATGTTGAAAATATCATATGCTACCTAATAATGTAGTAAAATAAAAAATATTAAAAAAAACAAATGGCATTTTGGAAACCTAAATTTTAAGAAATTGTAATTACAATATTACCAAAACTTAGATGTTTTGTTGAAGATGACATCTTCCCCGCACGACCATCTAAGGTATAAATCTTTATATATTTACCAATTAGAGTGTGTACTAGACAGGAATCTAGGATGAAAACTATCGGTGGAGAAGTAAAAACTTAAAATCACAATATTTTTATTTTCAAAAATATTAGAGATAAAATCTTTAACATATTCTTTCAAATTTAATTTTACAATTAGTTAATTTATTAAAAATATCATAATTTTGTGAGATTCATTTCTATTTATATTAACACGATTACGCAGTTTCTACTTGACTTTAATTAAGAAATAATGTTATTTAAAAAGTTGGATTAAAGTCTTCTTAATTTTTCAAAATCTCCAAAACTTTAATCGTACAAAACAATGCTCACTGCCAAAAATTAAATACAAGCAGGAGAACTACCACCTACTATCGACATATTACTAGCAAAAACAGATATGTACTTTATATATTTAATTTTTTTTATGATAAAATAGAAAACGATAAATACAATTCAAAATCTTAATATAATTATTATTAAAAATAAAAATATTTATGAAAACATTAGTAAAATCATAATAAAACTTATAAAAAATATTGTAATTATACATAAAAACATTTTAATTTTTTATATCACAATTACTCATTATTGGTATTTTTCTTAAATAGTACAAATTAAACAATTTATTGAACTATATATAAGTACAAAAAGGATACAAAAAAGTAAAGAAATGTGTATAATTCTTTTTTAAATTTTCTTTTCTTTTTAATTGCCAACAGATTACTGGGTAGTAAGTAATTTTATGTGGGACCCTTTTTTCACAAAATAAAAGCAAGTAATTATAGTAACCGAAATTTAAAATGCAAGTAATAATTAAGATATAGGATTCTTCGTCAATTAAAAAAAGTTAACACTTGAAAAATACTAAAGTGTGAAGTTCTAACCCCACCATTTCAACATTTTTATTTTTATTTTTATCCATTTCTCAAAAATGTTTGCATCATTATATGCAATGGACCAACTTTTAGAGAAGTGAATTTTGTTCTCTTTTAACCTAAGAAGTTTGAGAGCAAAAAGAACATAGGGAGAGTTATTGAAGCAAGTATGATTAACCCTTTTAATTGTGTTGTGCACGCACTAAAAGTAACAACCTCCACACATCTTCATTTCATACAATCACAACTTTCTAATGTTATTTATGGCTTTTCAAGTTAAATCAATAGTATTCATTTCTTTATAATACCGTCAATCGGTTTATTTGAATTTAATATTAGTTTAAAATCTGGATTTATAAATATGTTAAATATAAAAAACTTTTTTATTTACTATAATTTTAAGGCTTAATACCTATTTTGGTCCCTCGAAGGGGCTAAATGTTCAATTGCGTCCTACGTTTTTTAAAAAGTTCAATGTGGTCCAAACTTGTGAAAAAAGTGTGCAATTAAATCCTTTTTGGTAACGGCGTTAATTTTTTAACGGGCCAACTAACAGAGTGTACTGAAGATTGCAACGTGTCTGGGGAAGGTTAATATGTGGCTGTGTGAGGTTAATAAGTGGCTATATTATTACAGATAACGTGGCAATGGTGAATAAATCAGAGGTTAGGGTTTGGATTCCTCCCAATTGGTCTTTGAGATACGAATGGCTTGTTCCGAAAGGTGTTCGTCTGCTTCGAAAAGTTGGGACAAAGGATCTTCGATCATATATGCGCTACATAATTTGTATTAATGGAATCATAGACAAATGAAAATTTTCAATGACTTTTAGTAAAGTATGCACAGTAAGAATGAACGGTAAACTCGATACTGTCATGACAATAATTTGTTGTACAAGTAGAGATACACCGTGACATTAAATTTTCGTGTACATATACAGAGATACAATTTTATGTACAGAGCGAGGAAATTCACTTCTCTAAAATTTTCGTGTCCCATTGCCAATAGACCTTCTCTATAATACCTCCACCACTTTTAACAGCGAGGTGAAGCGTCTCAAAAGCTGGTGGAACCCCCCACAATAATGGCACTGCAACAGTCATGGTTAGCTTCTCATGTAAATCACCTTTGCTTGCCTTCTCTACATCAATAACTTTTTGAAGATCCTTTGCCCCAACTTTTCGAAGCAGACGAACACCCTTCGGAACAAGCCATTCGTATCTCAAAGACCAATTGGGAGGAATCCAAACCCTAACCTCTGATTTATTCACCACTGCCACGTTATCTGTAATAATATAGCCACTTATTAACCTCACACAGCCACGTATTAACCTTCCCCAAACACGTTGCAATCTTCAGTACACCCTGTTAGCTGGCCCGTTAAAAAATTAATGCCGTTACCAAAAAGGATTTAATTGCACACGTTTTTCACAAGTTGGGACCACATTGAACTTTTTTAAAAACGTAGGATGCAATTGAACATTTGCCCTCTTTCGAGGGACCAAAAGAGGTATTAAACCTAATTTTAAATATCTCAAACAAATTTGCTTCTACTTATAATTTACATATGAAAAAACAGTATCAGTTTTATTAATATGAGATTAGATTATGAGTCAATTTTATTCAATAATACACTTAAATATGTTTTTGGTTTCTAATAAAAGTAAAAATTAGTTCATTTGTGAAATTTTCACATAATTTAGTTTGTCAGTTTTTAAATTTAATTTTTTTAACTAATTTTTGTTAAGTTTATTTAACGTTTCAAAAACATTTTATGATAATATTTGAATTGTTTATACTATTTAACACATTTTTTTAACGTTATTTAATAAATACTTTTGAAATCTTACATAAATTTAACAAAATTTAACTTAAAAAAATGATTAAATTTATCTTGTGATAAAAATAAAAACTAAATTAATCCAAAGTTTTAAAAAAAACTTACATTAAAAGTTTCTTATACACATATATAGTTTTATATTAATTTAAAATTAGTTGATAATAGTTTTAAAATTATATAAAGTATCTGCTATTTTATTATATAATGTGATTCATTAAAGTTTGGTCATTTGTTCTTTTGAGGAATCATGGTGCTAGTCATCCGGTCATCCCCAGCGTTTCAATTAATTGTTCAAGCAGGGACAATTCAGGAAATTCACCTCTTTATTTATATTTAGGTTTAATCATTCACGAAGTCCCTATTTTTGCGTGGAATCTCAATTTAGTCCCTTTGTTTCTGGAATTCTCAATTGGGTCCCAAATTTATGAAAATTGCAACAATTGGATCATTTCCGTTAAATTATCTACAACGGCGTTAATATGTGTTTGACGTGGCACGCTGTAGTCAGTTTCTTAACTGAGTGGTTGACTGAAGCAGGGGCAGTGAAGCACTGTGGATAATAACAATTTTTTAAGTAAAAATAAAATGAATGTTTTAAACCAAAATGGGGATTCAGATTTTGAATTGATCGAATTAGGGATTGGGATTGTTCTGAGTACTTCTAGGGTTCGGTTCGTCCAAAGATCATTCCATTTCACAAATTGGGGTATCAATTTGGGTATTTAGGGTTTAATCGAAGTTGTGGTTGAAGATGCATCCTTATTCGTCTTCGTCATGCAGCGGGTGGCAGAAGCAAGACAATAATGTGGTCTGTGGTGGTGCTCGAGGAGGATGTAACAATGGTGGTCCGTTGTGCTATTGTGGGATGAAATGTGTTGTCAGAACTTCAAGAACAGTTAAGAACAGAGGCAAGCAATTTTGGGGTTTTTTT